GTATATATGCATGTATGTATGTGTATATATGTGTTTGTATGTATATACAGTATATATATTTTTGTGTGTTATATATACGTAGTATATATACTGTATATGGGGGGTGTTTTCAGTACAGCTAAACACAGATCATTCCATATTCTTTTTTTCTTACATTATTATATAGGCACTTTCTTTCATTCATTATCAGAACTTGAAATAAACCACAGGTCTACAAGTGCTTTGTTAAATGTCATCAAGGTAGTCATACTGGTTTTACATCTTGGTTGCATTGTGCCTGGAGAATAAAAGAAAAAAAATTCCAGAAACACGTAAGCAAGGTGCAGTGCCAACCTTCCACCCCAGCAGGGACATATATTTCTCCATGAAATAATTTAAAAAGCAAACTTTAATGTCATTTTCTGTTTAMAATCTGCTTAAAAAACACCTTTAAAGTAAACCTTTATATTTACTGTAAAATCGAACTGAACTAATATCTCTTAAGCAAGAGGAAAGGCTTGGGGTGTTAGAGAGATTTAATGTTGCTCAACCGGTTTTTAAATACAAAGAACAAAATTTTATTACCAAAAATGTTTTAAACCCATTTCATTTAAAGTTATTCCAAAGATCACAATGAGGCCAGAAGATACGTACAGCCAAATTATTTGTTTGTCCACAAAACAAATAACGGTGTTATCCTTTATTTTGGCAATTTAAAACGTGAAAACTGACAAAACTTATTTTGTTCTTTTAGCCCCTGCCACTGAAATAATGACTGTTTTGTTGTGTAAATGCTCTTTTTTTTTAATCAAAAGAAAAATATTCATATTAAACATACAAAAAGTATTATATTTTTGGAGCTCACGAGCCCAACACTAAGCTTAATTTCACTAAAATCCAAAAAAATAAAAATAAAACATTTGATTGTGAATTTGTACACTTCAACAGACCTGAATGTTTTATGCTGTTCTTTTATAATCCAGATGTTTTTTCTACAAAATAACAGCAAGTTTTTAGATGCTCTGAACAGTGAATTGTTAAATAYTGTAAAACGCAAACTAAGAACACAGCCACAAAATATTATCAGTCATTTTAGCAGTTTAAAAAAATACAAAACCAAATGTGTAAAATACACATTTCTAATGAAACTGAAACACAGAAATCATCCAGTCTATAAATATATGTAGATTTAATTGTTCAACTTTGCAGTAATACACACTTGGGTCTTTTAAGCAAATAGTTCAGCCACAGAATCCATCTGATTAAAAACACTGAAATAACAATGGGGAGAACATATTTTATATAAAAAACAAACAAACTGTATATCACACACCAAATATCACTTTTAACACTGTTTTTGGCACTTGAGTGTCAGGAAAGTCTGCAGTAACATCAGTAAACGATTTTCCAGTGCGTGGGCTGTTCACATTGTTTCTCAGAGTCTCCACAGAAACGGTTGTACGTAGTTTTAGGATCAAAACCCAGGATTTCTCTCTCCTCGTGGATCCGGAAAGAGAAGGTGGACACTGATGTTCCGATGAAGAATCTAGGAAGAGACAATCTTAAAATATAAAGGCGGTAAAACTGGAGATGTGAGAAACTGCAACGCAGCAGAAAAAAAAAAGTCTGTCACTCATACTCGCTTTTCAAGGTGAGGAATTATCCAGGTATGTAAAACCTTAATACTGTGGTTGCTTCCCGCTAAACAAGTGTGTCCAGAAACTGGTTTTCCATTACCACTTTTAGTCAAATCTCAAGATTAATTAATGGATTTAGAACTTTAACTGATACAGTCAATCAAATATACAGCACATACTAATGCTGATGAATGTCTAGAGAAGTACAAACAAAAGGAAAAACAACAACAAATATAAAAAATGGCTTAAGATACTAAATGGATAGTAAACCTTTTAAAGTGGGCTACATTTTTGACAATAAAAAATCACTGTGTAGCTCAAACATATATTAATAAAAATTTAGTTGCTAAATAGAAAGGTTGAGTATTTTTTTCTGATTGTGTGATATATCRTCTGAAGAATACTTCTACATTAGCACAACACAACATATGCAATAATGTCCTGATGCATCTCAGTGATCCAGGTAGCAAAAAATCAAAAAGAAAAAAATAAGTAGGTCCTCTGGATGAGTTCTTCTTTAGTGAAATGTTTCATCTCTCGTCCAAGAGGAGAAACTCTGAGGAGAAACTCTCAGGTGAATTCAGCCTTATAAGCACTGCCTCCACATGGTGGACAAACAGGTTAGTCACATGCAAAACAGGGCTATCACCTAACAATAGGCTTGATTAGCTCTATTGTTCATAGATGGTCATGTGCAATAATATTTACAAGAGTATAGTATTTTGAGTTTTTAAAAAATATATAGCTTTAAAAAAGAAAAATATAATCTTAAAATATTCACACTATTAAACTTTCTGGTCACCTAAATAAAAGATAGTTGGACTTGTGCTGCTGGTGCTAAATTAAAAATATAAATTACTTCATAAAAATGCTGACAGGTAATACGGAGAAAACGTTCATGACTTGTAATGAAAACATAAATTAACAGGGTTCGGTGCTATGCAATACCATTATGATGCTTAATAAACATCAATGCTAAACACCATACACGTTTAGAGGTCTAAATCAAATAGATACATGTGAGATACATGGGTCACATTTTGAATGATTAGTATTCCTCATTTTTACCTATTGAAAGTCTTTTGATGTGACATCAAAGCTTTGACAGAATAGCAGAAATCATTACTTTCTTTTACAACTCTAAGTACAAAATACATTGTTTTAATATTTGTTTGAATCTAAATGAGATCATTACTACTATTATTACACACAGCGATCTGCACAGTCATTTTCTCTTAGACCTCTGAGATAACTAGCTTACTTCTAATAAAGAAGGTGACCCCTGCTGGCCATTTTATATAATACATCTTTATAACTTCTAAATGCAGTATATCATCATATAGCATAAATCTCTGACACAAGAACCTTTATCTGTCATAAATTCAACCTGCAATAACCGCTGCAATAACATTTGTAGGCAGTAATAATCTGAGCTCTAATGAATTGTCATCAAGATAAAATGCCTGTTAGATTGGCCCCCACAGCAGTGTCACAAAAACACATAAAAATTTTAAAAAATACCTTGCATGAGCGCAGATCCACTGGTCAATAATGGCCACTCCTCCATCTTTAAGCAGCTCCAAGTCCTCTTGGGATGTTTCAAACCGAATCATGTCAGGCAACAAKCTTTTCAGCTCCTTTAGTTCTACAGGATGGCACAAATTTCACAGGATAATAAAATTGTTTTACYTGTCATTAGTCGTGCATTGCATTTAGAAAATATTGACATCACCGTCAGAAAAGGTGAGAATGTATTTAAATTGCACATAAAAACACGTTTGTGTATTACCGTCCCCATCTGCATCAGTTGCAATAAACACAGTGTCCAGTTTGTGTTTCTTCATCAAGCTTCGGATTTTTTTCACTGCTCCCTTGAGGCTGGGGACATCGTCTCTGTGACCCCAGATAAAATCCTTCCGGCGCAGATGCACCCCTACGTATGGACCACCTTTGGCTGAGCCAGGTTTAGCCTGGTGAGGACGTAAATGCATATGTTCATATATCAGGTTTAATAATAGAGAATGATTTACAGAAATCTTTTGATATCCTCAATACAGAGTTGGTTTGTACTACTTAATAGCTAACTGAGAGCAGCTTGTAGATGATGTGGCCCAGTTTAGCAGAAAGAAGCAGGAGTTCTGGCTTCAGCTCTAAAGTATCCTGATATTTTTGGGTCAGCTGTGTTATTTTTAGAATAGTTTGGACACCACTATCACCAGACACCACCTTGTTTTGGACAACTGGGTTAATCTTCTTGGGCTTTCCTCAAAGTCACCATGCCTCCTTTGAAAAAAAGCAAATACTTCATGCCCTGTATTTTAGGGCTTGTTTTTTTTTTTTTTTTTTTTTTTTTT